AAAAAAAAAAAAAAAAAAAATTAATTCTAAAAGCCAAAACATGCCTTTAAAAATGTAGGGGCTGGGGATTTAGCTCAGCGGCACAGTGCCTGCCTGGCAAGCGCAAGGTCACGAGTTCAATTCCCGGTACTAGAAAAAAACCAAAAATATAAAATTGAATATATTTTCAAATTTGCTAGGCTATTTCCTATGAAAAGATTCAAAAAGGAATAAGAAATATCAAAACTCTCATGTATGTATCACTAGATGTGACTGGTGTTGATTGTAAAATCTTTGAAAAAGAAACCTTTCAGCAAGGGTGGTAAGCAAGCAGACTATTTCTGAAAGTGGAAGATCTGGAGCTTGGACTAGAAGGCCTAAGTAAAATGTAGACCATAAGATGAGGAGTCCAAACTGTATCAAAAATTGTAACCAACTACAAACTCTGTATTAGGAAATTAAAGATGCTGTCAGTTTCATCTAACTGGAAAGAAAACCCTTTAAAGCTTAATCATCATTTTATTGAAGACTTTACTTCTGGACTAGTGTATTCATAAGCAGTATGAGGAAATGTGTCATTGCAATTCAGGAAAGTGAAACTAAATGCTTCGCGGTTTCCCTTCAGTGCAGGGTGTGGCTTGCCTGGCTCCAGCTGAGCTGCAGGGAGAGGTCCCCACACTGCTGCCGAGACCTGGCCTTTCAGGTTCAGGTGGGTGCTTGCACTGGCCCTGAAAGTGTGCTGCTTTGATCCTCCCCACTCAACCCCAAAGAGAAAATAAAAGTCCTTAGGGAACAGATCTGAAAGCAAGTACTAATAAGGTGAACTCTGGGTTTCAAAATTACCCAGTTTGCCTGAGGACAGGTTATTGGGCTTCCTCAGAACCCCAAGGAGCAATACCTTTATGCTGCTGGATATGAAGACTTCAGCTTTTGAGGAATTTGAACAAAAAAAACCAGGACAGTACTGGTTCTCATCTAGTTCCCTTCTGTTATGAATAGGAAACCAGCTGGTTGAGAGGAAACCTAATTTAATCTTCTCACAACCTGATTACAACTTCTTTCCCTTTATACACACCATGTAACCTTTTTTTTTTTTTTTAACGTTTTCTTT